TGTGGCTGCCCCTGGATCCCTGGAAATGTCCAAGGCCAGGTTGGACGGGGCTTGGAGCAACCTGGGCCAGTGGAAGGTGTCCCTGCCCATGGCAGGGGGTGGCACTGGGTGGTTGTCAAAGTCTCTTCCCACCCAAACCATTCCCTGGCTCTGTGACTCGGGGTTGTCCCTCCCCACCGAGCCCAGCACGTGGAACCGGCCCCTCTGTGACATCAGCCCTGGGCCAGGGGCACTGTGGGTGCTGTGGGCACAACGCTGGAGGTGACCCCTCGCTCCTGGCACTGCCCCGTGCGCTGCCACCGATGGCTTGGCTGTGGCTCCTGGTCCTGCTGGCCCTGGCCGGGCCCGTGGGTGGCACCTGGGACACCTGCGGGTCAGTGGCCATATTTAGGTTCTGTGGAGGAGCCTCAATGCATGGCCAGCACCCACAGCCCACCTGCAGGGCTCCAGCAGAACCAGGGGGGCAGATCAGATGTGCCCTGGGGGGTCCCTGCTGTCCCCAAGCAGGGCAGTGATGGCTTTGTGCTTTCAGAAGGACCTGTGGGCTCCGGCCCGTGGCTGCCGACGGCACCTCCCGCGTCACGGGGGGCACCGGGGTCCAGCCGGGGGCCTGGCCCGGCATCGCCAGCATCCAGGCCACCTGGAAGAACGGCACGTGGCACATGTGCTCGGGTGTCCTCCTCAGCTCCAAGTGGGTCCTCACCGTCGCCCACTGCTTCATCAGGGCCAGGTGAGGAGGGGCAGGGACAGGGATGTCCCCACAGGTCACAGCACCTCGTGCTGCTCCAGTCCTGGCTCTTTCCTCTCTGCTTCCCTCTCTGCCTTGGGAAGCAGAAGACCGGGAAGCAGCCACAGCCCATGGCTCTGCTCTCCTCTTACCCCTCTCTCCTCCTCCTCCCCAGCGATGTCTACCGGTGGGATGTGGTGATCGGGGCCACAGATCTGACTCAGCCAGGCCCCGAGGCCGAGGTGAGGCACATCCAGAGGCTCCTGCTGCACCAGCACTATGTGGCTGCCAAGGCATGGAATGACATTGCCCTGCTGGAGCTGGACCAGCCCGTGGAGTGCAGCGACTCCATCCAGCTGGGCTGTGTGCCCGACACCTCACTGAGGGTCTCGGAGCTCAAATCCTGCTACATCGCCGGATGGAGTTTCGGCAAACCTGGAAGTGAGGCCCAACAAGGACATGTGCCCTGAGGGTGCCCAAGGGACATGGGCTGGGCATCTGGGGACATGGGCTGGGTACCTGGGGACATGGGCTGGGCATCTGGGGACATGGGCTGGGCACAGCCACACTCCAGCTGTGGCTTCAGGACATCAGCAGGGTCAGGTCTTGGAGCAGCCTGGGCTGGGGGAAGGGGTCCCTGAGCAGAGCTGGGAGTGGCACTGGATGAGCTTTAAGGTCCCTTCCACCCAAACCACTCTGTGACTCTCTGAAGAGACCCCCAGGCAGGGGAGGGGACTGGCACTGAGCTGATGGGGTCTCATTCCTCTCTGTTCCTACAACTCCTGGACCAGATGTGGTGCTGCAGGAGGCCAAGGTCCACTTGATGGACACAGAGCTCTGTAACAGCAGCCGGTGGTACGCGGGGGCCGTGCACCCCGAAAACCTGTGCGCTGGGTACCCGCGGGGCGGCATCGACACCTGCCAGGTGGGAGCGTGGCACCAGCCCCTCAGCCCCGGCAGCACAGGGACCCCCTGCCCCAAACATGGCATGGGCTGGGCCTGGCCTGGCCCCCTCCCAGCCCCAGGACCCACCACTGCCAGGGCTGTCCTGTCCCATGTCCCCTATCCCAGGGCTGTCCTGTCCCATGTCTCCTATCCCAGGGCTGTCCTGTCCCATGTCCCCCATCCCAGGGCTGCCCTGTCCCATGTCTCCTATCCCAGGGCTGTCCTCTCCCATGTCCCCTATCCCAGGGTTGCCCTCCCCTTCCCCATCCATGGGTCCCTGCCCTGTGTCCCCTTGTCCCCAAGGCCTGGCTCTGCCCCCAAAGCCCATGCAGTGCTCCTGGCAGCCCCGAGCTGCAGATGTGACCCTGGATCATTCATCCTCTGCACATCTGGGACCCCTGTGCAGAGATGGGACAGCCCCCAACCCGCTCCCAGCTGAGGCTCTGGAGGCTCCAGCCCCCAAGTAGAGCCTTCCCGTGCTGGGAATGCAGCTCTGGCAGGGGCTGGGAGAGAGGAGCCAGCCCTGCTGCTGCAGCAGCCCCCCACAAACCCTGAGCCCTCTCTCCTGCCGCAGGGGGACAGTGGGGGTCCCCTCGTCTGCAAGGACAACAGAGCCGACTACTTCTGGGTCGTGGGGCTGAGCAGCTGGGGAAGAGGCTGTGACAAAGCCAGGCACCCCGGGATCTACACCTCCACTCAGCCCTTCTACAACTGGATCCTGCTCGAGACGGGCCTGAGGCCGGCACAAAGAGCCGGTCCAGAACAAGGGCCAGCCGTCAGCTCGACCCCTGAGCAGCATCTGGGGCCGGTGTCAGAGACACACATCAGCCTGACCCCTGAGCAGCAGCTGAAGCCAGAGCCAGAGCCGGACATCAGCTTCATCCCCAAGCACAGCCAGAGACCGGCACCGACCTCCTCGGCCTTGTCAGTGCCCACAGCATTCCCACTGCTGCTCCTGGTGCCGTTCCTGAACCTGCTGCAGGAGTTCCTGCACTTCCTGAAAGATAAAAAGGCTTAAGCAGCAGGAGGAGGGGGATCCAGGGCTACAGTGGACCAGGGCCATTTCCTGCTGGGACAAAGGTAGCCTTGGGGGCCAGAGGTTGCTCTGTCCTGCCCACGCTGCTCCACTGCACCTGCACCGATGCTGATGTGACCCAGGTGCTGAAATAAAGTTTCTGTGTTCCTCATTAACTGTGTTTTCAGCCCTGCTCAGTGCACCCACGGGCTGGGAAAAATCCCTGCTCTGTCTGTCAGTCTGCTGGGCTGTTCACATTCGTTCCTCAGCCTGGAGAAGGCTCCAGGGAGACCTCAGTGCCTCTTCTGGAGCCTAAAATGGGTTCCATAAAGGGGGAGAGTGGCTTTTGACATCAGCAGGTCACGATAGGATAAGGAGGAATGTTTTTAATCCAAAAGAGGGGAGATTTGGATTACATTATGGGAAGGAGTCTTTTACTCAGGGGGTGGGCAGGCCCTGGCACAGGTTGCCCAGAGAAGCTGTGGCTGCCCCTGGATCCCTGGAAGTGTCCAAGGCCAGGTTGGATGGGGCTTGGAGCAACCTGGTTTGGTGGAAAATGTCCCTTTCCCATTGCAGGGAGGTTGGAATGAGCTGATCTTTACGGTCCCTTCCAACCCAAACTATTCTATAATTCTATGATTGCAATTTATAAAATCAGTCTATGGAAAATTTATCCTCTTTGTCTTCAGCACAGTCCTCAGACCCTGAAGGTCCAGAGAGCAAATGATTCCATCCCTCATGTCTGTATTACTACAGGGTGG